CTTCCTGCAAGCTTGACAAGTGCCGACACTCCATGTCAGTCGGTCCATGCCAAGCGAGCAAATGACATGAAACAAGTTCAATGCAAATAGACGTAGTTTTACCATGTGTTTCATACACTTGCTAAGTTCCATGCTCTTGGGTTTCCAACAAGTAATCTCTGTCACCTGTTCCATGCCGAAAACATTAAAAAAATTGTCAACGGTCAACAGAAATGGATAGGACAAGACATGGCCTTGGCAGCTACGTGAACTTCGAGCGCCGCGCTGTTCCCCGCAACCGTTCCCCCCGAGACCGGTCCCCCTCTTCGTCTGGCGACCATGTCGGGTAAGGCAGCAATTGCTGCTCCTGCAGCAGTTGGGCAGTTACAAGTGGTCCAATTGGTGAAGCAGTGCTTAAATGCGTGTATCTATCTACTGATATATCTATGTGTATATATATATATGCAAGCATCATGTGCAAAAGCTTAGTCACAAAGAAGACAACGCACGACTCGCAGGTCTCAATTCATTGGCTGCCTGGTGGGTTCACGGATGTTCACGGCACACAGGTCAGTTTCTCCAAGCGATGTAGTGTCTACTACGCAAAAAAGCACACGAAACTGAACTTGGCCAGGCTGAAGCGGCTGCAGGCATGCTACATGGGCATACACTCCCGAACACCTGCCTGGGCATCTGCCTCATCATCCAACTCATACAGGTCCCTGGATTCGACTCGCCAGTTCAAAGTCGCGTTGCACACATCTTCTCTGGTTTTCGATCAGGCTTCTACTAGAGTTACTAATTAGGGGAAGGTGGTTCAAACACTTGGAAAGGGAGTTCCAAATACCCGATTGGAATTGGAAGGTGGCCGTACTCGTCTGGTTGCTAATTGAGAGACCTTGCGTTTCAAAGTGTGCAATCGGTGACAAGATGTGACAAGCCATGGGAGACAGGCAGGATGCAGCCGCCAAACAGGCCATGGCACATGTGTCGAAGTTGTTCTACTGGCTGGACTTGCCAATCCAAGTGGACTGTACATGCAGCACCAACCAAACCCCGAAGGTGCAGAGATTGATGATTACACCAATTGCCTCATCTACCCCGTCCTGAGGAAGACCCTCTCGCTTATTTTTTGCACTCTGCCCATGCATCTGCCGATCTGCCAATTTCAGCCAGGGATCGGTTTGAAGAGTTGCTCGTCGAACTCCGTCACCAAGCGATTGGTCCTGTGCCCCAAAAGTTGACAGACCTCAAGCTGGGAATGGGACTGGTTGGTTTTTTTTTATTATGTGTTTTTCTAAAAATCTGGGAACCAAATGAATAGTGCGAGCGCTTCTTCACGGAAACTCCCCTCACCGTCAGGCGGAGGGAGCTTCCTTGAAGAAGCGTGAGCTATCCTGCGTCCTACCTAGGAGCTAACTTAGCCCTTAGTTAGCCCTTACTTAGTTTTAATATTACATATATATATATATAAGCAGGCGCCCACTTAATTAAGTAGGGGGCAGAGCGGCCTTGAAAAGGGACCAAATGGGATGATGGATGATGCAATTGTCTGGGCCTTGCACTAAACACTGTTTGGCCATCACTTCGATGGAACGACATGCACTGCTAGTCATGGCGGAGCATACACGGTGCTGCAAAAGCATTTGCTCCTGGATGGTGTGGTCGGCCTACGGAGCCGGAAATCAGTGGACTTTGAACGTGGAGGAGGTTTGAAAGCCATCGTGCAACGCAGGCACTCAAGTCACATAAAAGAAGAGCAAGTGACTAAGTGAATTTACAGGGGAAATCCTTCAAGTGTCACCTCTACTGAAATCCTGCAGGATTCTGAAACGTCGCCTGGGCATGCTGCGATCTGGGCGGACCAAGTTCCTGTCGGACCTGTCATAGGCTCACCAGGCTAGCAGTGAGTGGTCTCCACATCCCCCGTGCAAGTGCATGCCAGAAAAGGGCTATATAAGTTATATATTAATTATATATAATATATATTATACCTGAGAAGGGGGGGACGAAAGCCAGCAGCCGCCAGACGAGTGTCTCTTTTTCTGGCGGGCGTCGCGGCACCAGACACATGGTCAGCAGCTTGCGAGTCAGCGGTGCCGCGGATGCGGGGGGGCGTATGTAATGGTGATGGAGAGGAACGTATGCATCTTATGGAAGTTGGAAGGCGACATCAGCGTTAGCGAAGGGGAAAGACCGTCTGAGTTCGAGTGGTGGGATACCACGCGCGTGCAGCGCGCAGGAAGTCAGCGTCGCCTGGCGCGAGTACGGCGTGCGTTTGAAAAGAAGCAGTTATGTGCTTGTTACATTTGGAGTGTTTGAAGTTTGCAATGCATACTGCGGCACGTCGAAAAGCCGCATTCGTTGATTTGGAAGAGTGAACGGGCACGTCTTAGCCGGAACACGGACCTTTGATCCCGCGGCGCAGAAGGGGAGGTCCAGCGGGAGTAGCTTGGGCTAGCAAAGGAGTGAGGATTTGTGTGCCTATCGATGCACATGCCTGGACTTGAGTGAGTCATGTTCTGACTCGATCCAAAACACAGTCTTTTTCCTTTAAAGGGGCCTTTATAAAACGATCCAAACACCTTCTTGATTCTTCTCTTTCTTATCATCAACTCTGCGCCTTTCTCACTCAGACAGAGGCCTTGACTTTGGCACCAGCGTGTGTAGACCTTTGGGCCGTGGACCCAGGCTGACTGGATTCGGCCAGGGCTGCCAGCAAAAAGGCAACGTCATGAGTCAGTAGTAAAAAGAATTTATCTATCTAACTAACTATCTATCCATCTATCCATCTATCTATCTGCACCGGCAAGCCGGAAAAACGTTCGGTGCCTGTGGACGCCACAAGAAGCATCCACTCGACCGAGGACATGGTGCAAGTATAGTTTTGGCTAGGGGGCAGGAGCCCTATGCGGATATGTAGTCAACCTCGCAGGCATCCCCACCGAAGCTCAATCCAAATTCATGGACTTGAACTCATTTCACTTTCGGCTCTCTATGGATTTCGCGAATTGCGGGTTGTCCTGGGAGCTCGTATCCTCCATGCGGCTGCGGTCTGCTCTGTCCGTGGGTCCCTGTCTCCACTCGATTGCTGAATGCCCATTGTCCAAATAGCCTCCAAAGCCCTTCATGATGCTAAATGATGCACTACTCGGCGTCCATTACATCACTCGCATCACCAGCCCCCATGTTCACTGCTTTTCTGACCCTCGCTTTGGAGCGCTGTCCCCCACCAAGCTCTGGGTTCACCGTATCAAAAGGTCCTCCTCAGCGACCACCCCCCCACACCCCCTTGACTCACTTCGTTCGCCCTAAAAGCTCCAGCCTGGACTAGCCTATCGGCTGGCTTTCGTAATATATATATATATTATATAAACCAGTTGAGTGGAAATCATCGTGTGAAACGCCGGCTTTCTACCCCATGGCTGACAAGAATACAGTATCCAAACTCGATCTCAGGCCATGGGCAGAAGGGCTCATGCAGTCAGGACACACACCACGACGCGAAGATACCTGCATGCTGGTGTCTGTAGTAGTGCATCCAAGGACAAGAAAGGTAGAGTCCATGAGAAACTGTGACACTAGTCAAGAGCTTTGAGAGTGTGCTGGCAACCAGAAACCACAAAAGTCCAAGGCCGACAGCCACAGCCCAACATCTTGTGCTACTGAACTGCCGATGAGCTGCGGGTGACGAAGCATCTCCTACTGAGCCTGAGACACGTCGTTCCTGAGATCCAAAGCTGACACCGGCCAACAGGATTTCCCAACACATTTCCAACACCAGCCCTCCCGAAAGAATTCTGGATGAAAGCGCTGATTCAGAAATGAAGAGAAGGTCGTAAAAGGCACTGCCTGTATTCTCTGCCTTGTGGGGTTTGAAATACATCGTGTCTCCGACAAAGTTGTTCAGCCTCACTTGCCAGTCTCAACTTGATCCTACTGGAAAATGCTAAATTCATGCTGCTGGCAAAGCCACACCAGAGTCTCCAGAGTGCGTGGAGGACCTGAATGAGAGCAGTGCCAATTAGTGCCAATATGTGCTAATTGACATCCAGCGTCCAGTCTATGCAAACAGACTAGGAATGCAAATTAGCAGTGACTGATAGTGCTGACCACTTCGTCCTTTGAAAGTTTGCCATGGCGCTATAGACGCTATAGCTTGCTATGCCTATGTGTTTGCTCATCAGCTATATTTGAGTCGCACAAAGGCCCTGACGGCGCTGACGAGGGCGAAGTGGGACGTTCCAAACCAGGCTCGCCCGGATCCATAGGAGCCACGTGAGCCACGCGAGCCTGATCCCTTCAGTTTCCAATCCTCGAATTGGGTAGCTTGGGCTTTGCAGAGGACATGCTGGATTTTGAATGATACATCGAAAAAATCCAGCATCGAAAAAGTAAAATTACAGTATGTCACTAGTCACTAGTTGTTTGTTGTGTCTGTGCTTGTTGGCTTGCTGTGACTCTTTTGTTTGCTGACGAACTTTCGAAGGCGGCCAGCTTTTCTTAAGATGCAAATAACATAAGATTGTATTCATAACCATAGTTGAAAGGGCCGCCCTTGTGAGCCTTGCTGAAGCGCAAAGGAATAGGCAAGGACACGGCACGTGCACCATTCTACAGCTCACGCAGCGACTGTCAAAGCACCAAAAACATGGGGAAGCCAAGATGGACATGCTTCTTCTGTGGGAAGTGTTGATTGAAGCCGTGAAACATCGTGAAGCAACAACATACAGAATGTGCAACTTTCAATGTATGCGCAAAAGCGAATGTTTCTTATGGTGGCCAATCCTAAGTCAGCTTCCTTTGGGGTCTAGATCCCAGGCTGGCGCACCATCTGTGACGGCCCCTTCTGGCTGAGCGGATTCGCGACCTGGGGCCGTTGTGATCTCTGCCATTAGACGACGCCAATAACAAATCTCTTTTGATATTGGAGGAGAAGAGAGGGATTTATTGCAAAGATCTGTCTTACCGCAAGAGTTCCCTGGGCTACCGCTCCCAAAACCTATTGGTTTTTGTGGCAAGTCGAGATTCACGTGGCATTGAGCTATACGCCGAGTCCACAACAGGGATTTTTCACCATCCAGCTATCGCAAAGAACAGCCTAGAATTTGGGCTGACCTTTGCAGAGGCACAGGTGTCCAGTCGTGCACTGAGAGCATCCTTAAGAATACTCTCATGATTTAGGGCCTAGAGCCTCAAAACTCAAAAGATGCAATTGTTTGCTGTAGGCCTTGTTTGCTGCAAAGTCTTGTGTGCCGCAAAGGCCGTATAACAAGCTGCAAGCCGAGTCCATCACCTCAGCAATGCAGCTTTTCCATGCACGTCCATTATGGAAAGACAGACTCCTCGCAGTCGATTTCCTTGTAGACCCCTCCTGAACCAGGTCCACAATAGCGGCACTGAGCATTTACACCATCCGCCCAGCACCCAACCTTGCCCCACTTGCAAGTCTTGTCCCACTTGTAGTTTTGAGCAGTGCCTTGAGGAAACCAGCACTTTCCATTGGGATAGTGTGGTCTGGCACTTTCTGGGCAACGCACAGAGTGAAATGGCGTCTGATCGCAAAAGCGACACTGCACGTGAATTGCATCTGCATTGCATCCCAGCATTCCCATTCGGCACAACGGGTCCCAGTAGTAAGGAGTCACCGGTTCATTTACGAAGGAGCATGTGGATGAAGGGCATTCGATCTCTTTGTAGCTCCCTTCACCGCAGAATCGACAGCCCAAGTGCTTGCCATCAGCCAAGCATCCCAACATTCCCTTCTTGCAACGTGGTTCCCAATAAAACCTGCTGAACGCCCCAGAATGACAAAAGGCCAACTGACAACAATTTAATTATGTATAATATACATACTATAAATATCAGGCAGTATTTGTAACACTGGACCATACTGGACCAATCCAAGAAAAATGCAAGCACACACAAACAACAAATGGAAACTGAATCGGTGAGATTAGATGTTGTAGACAAAGCGTTCGAAGCCAAGAAACGGCACAATCGGAGGATCGTCAAAGCTGCAAGCCTTGGTGCTTGGCACAATACTCTCACGTGGACAACGAACCCCGGTGTAGGGCTCTTCACCACAGAAGCGGCACTCGGCATGGACACCATCAGCCCAACATCCCAAAGAGGTTCTGGGATTCTTGCACTTGGGATCCCAATAGTATGCGACCACAGGTGGATTCACAAAGGTGCATTGCTCAGCAGGCACCCAATGGTGAGGTGCATCAAGTTGATCCGCTGGAACTCCCTCTGCCAACAAGCAGGAAGCAAAGGCAAGAAAGTGATTGATCATCATCCCGAAGAAGTAGTAGCAACGCGAGAAGTCAGCCCTGTCAAAATGGCTGCCATGCACAAATGATATACTATAACTATAATATAGATTAATATAGTGTGTGTTCAAAGGTGTTCAGCCTATCAACATTATCAACTGAAACGTAGCTACACTTGATCCACCTACGATGAAGTGGTGGTTGGATCCTCTGCATACTTCTGATGGTTTCAACATCTGCAACGAGTCTACCACCAAGCTGCATCCACTGGATCCACGTCTCTTGATCTCAAGTTCCCAACCGGTTGCCCGGCCATCTTCCCCTGGCAAGAATGACAGAGCTGTCACTGTCACGCACAAAAGTCTCTGTGTTGAACGGGCCTCGTCAGGCAAGTCTGCTTGGTGACGAGATGCACGGACAAGCAGTTTATCTTGAGCCATTTGCGGAAGGACCCCAGAGTAGACTGTGAAACGTAGCAAAGGTAGCAAAGTTCAAAGCACCGACTTGTCAGATGAACAACCACCAACATTGACGATCCTCACCCTGCCACACTGCCACAATTTGTATTGGTTGGTTTCAATTGCCCGTTCGGTGCAGCATTGCACAAACGGACCTTTTGCGGAAAACACGGTGTCACAAGCGCTGAAAAGTCTAGCACTCTTATTAATAACTGTCCATGAGCTTGGTATTTTGTAATTTTCTCCCAAGCTCTAGAGATGCACATCTCTTTTCCGCACTTGATTCGCTGCATCTCTGCTGTCTGTGCGTGTTTATTATTGCAGGATGTCACAACGCCATGTTCAGAAACTTTTTCTTGGAGAACTGGATCCTTGGCTGCAAATGTTCAATAGCCACATTCAGGTGTGTTAAAATCATGTCAAGGACGAAACATTCAAGCAAATCTTCTTCTCTCAGGAGCCCACCACCACTTGTTCAGCTGCCCCGATGGATACAGGATCTTCAAGAACCGATAAGCAGTCTCCTACGCTCAATGAATACAATGAATACGATGACAATGTCGCAGAACGGAGTGTCAATGAGTCAATGCATTCTAGCTGAAGGTGATCGTCCGTCTAAGGGTAACAGAGCTGAAGATAGAAGAAACACCAACCACAACAAGACAGGGTGCAAAAGCCTGGTCCCAGCAGAGATCAATTTCTACTAAACTTTAAGCCCTACAGTGTTCAGGAGAATCTGCAATGCACAACACATCATGATTACAAGTAAGTAACGTCAACGTTGACTTCGAAACGACATTCAGTGGTCACTAACTAACTCCTCTAACAGCCAAATCCGAGCAATGCTCATTCCTGTTCCCAAGATCTGTTGAAGGCACCAAGCCAAGGCCGCAGACGCGTCCTGCCGCAGCTGCTTCAGGCATGCCTGCAAACAAACATGTACCAGCAACGCGTCAGAAGGGGCACCGTGCCCTACTCTTACCAGTACCTTCCTGCCACCCAACATCCCAGACTCATGACAGTGTAGGCTCTGCTTTTCAGTATCAAGTGTGAAGCACCGTTTTCGATCAACACGATACCAAGCACCAAGATTGATGAGTCAAAATGTCTTGCAGCACTCTCATTGGGCAGCAAGAAGAAAAGTCACGAGAGGAAGATCTTTCAACAGACCCAGAAAAAACTGCCAGGTAGCCTTCGCAATTTGGCAATCCTGCGGCGGCCCTGCTTTGAAGAAGCTGTTCAGGAGGAAGCTGCAGCAGGCTGCTTGAGGCAGGTACAGAATCCCAGCCATGAAGGTTTGAAGGGGCCATCTTTTAAAAGAAGCTGTTGCCAACCAAATGCCAAACAAATTGAACAAACCAAAGTCTGCACACGCACGCAAGAGGCAAGGATTGCCAAAAGGCCATTTGCACCTTGGAATTTGCCTTCTAAGTGCTCACATGATGTTTTCCGAAAGCATGAATTCGCATGAATGGCAAATGGCAAATGCACGAAACGTGTTGAAGCGTCTCCTGCTCAGGTCTTTGACTCTGAGACTGCTATCCCGGTGTCCGAGGAAAAGTGTTGCGCCAATGCAGCCAGATCGCCCAGCATCGCCCGGTCCAGGGAGGTCTGAAGCTGCTAAAACCTGCACATCACCATGCAGCTGTTGGATGCTGAGGTCAATGCACCATGACGATCATGTGGTCACGTGAAGCAACAACCATGCTAACCCTTTCTTCGACATTTGTGATGCTGCTGGTACCTGCATGCGAAAAGACTGCCATGTCATAATGAAGTCCAAGGATGGAAAAAGGATGGTGAGGGCCTCTTAAACAAGGGCCCCCTTAAAGATCCTTGCTAGAAAGGCCTTTGCCTTTCCTTTCCCTCTCCAACAAGTTGCAAATAAGGGAATACTCAACTCATCTTGTTGGAAGTACATTGAGAAAAAAACGAAATACTTTTATATAAGAGGAACTGCCTAGTCCCTATGGTGTGGGAAATTAGAACACTCGAATAAAATTTCAGCCAAATGCGGCCTCCAAAGTTCGAGTTGCTTCCTCCACGCCACTGGCCTCACATCTTCAGTGCACGGGGTGATGGTTTTCAAGGAGGGTGTAGATTTTATATAGATCATTTTAGAATATTTTAGATCTGTCATCCAAGTGTAAGGTAAGGACCGTGGGAGTTCTTCCATAGATAAGCGAGTGTATGTGAGAGGCTTGCCAACATGCTGCTCCTGGAGAATCACTTTCCTCAATTCAGCAATGAAAGAAAGTGCGGCTTCAATGTCTCATGGGCGTCGCTCAATCAACCATGTTGAACCACCTTAGTTTAAGGAGAATCTTCTAGTAACAAGTGCATCGCTACTAGTAGCTTAGTAGCTTCTTGTTACTAGTAGTAATGCCCTTGTTACTACAGTAGTAGCGATGCACTTGTTACTAGTAGCTATCTTGACAGTGGCTTTTGCTTTGATGTGCGCTTTACACATGGAAATGGACACTTGAAGCGCCAGGCTCTCTTTCGGAATTCGAGGAAACAGCCGAGCACTGGTCTTGCCATTATCTTTCCAAGGAAAGCTGAGCAAGATCCATTCCAGTTGCTGGTGCTGACCATATACGCTGACGTTGCACACCATTGTCCAACCAACAAGGAAAGATGCGCATTCCCCTCCACTCATCATTCACGATCCTCTTGTCCTTTATTCTTGCAGTGTTGCACTCTGGGAAGGACAATTTAGAGGATATTCTCAAAAATACAACAATTGGGAGTCAAACGGCCAATGTTCTTCACACAGGTGTCTTTCTTTTCCTTTGGAAATGTTTCGTTTGCTGCACCCAGGTGGGATTTTAATTTGAACAGGCATCGCATGGCTTTAACTTTGGAACTTAATGCGAGACTATGTGATAGCTGATCCCGCTATGGAAGTATGGTCTCAAAACTCGTGTTCATTCGGTTTGCATACACATCAGGGACATCCGAAAGAGCTCCGGAGTCAACAAAGTCTGTGGCAAAGTCGCTTGCATTGGAATACAGCATAATGATACAGGTAAACTTTAGTTATGTCTTAGGTAAACCTTCTTGCACAAGCCCAGTCAAACCACAGAGGAAACTTAGTCGTTACCTTGCTCCCTCTATTTTCACATGCACTATCCCTGCGTTGCCGAGTTTGGCAACAAATGGCAACAGTTCACAACAGCCTCTTTTTCATCCTTGATGAACAGGAAGGAAAGCTCCACATTCTGGAGAATACACGACTAGGCTACTGAGCCCACACAAACAGAGATATCTTTCTGTCATTTTTAGAAACCAGGGCTCAAGGCCTGCGACGCCACGGACAAGCACTTCTGAATCCAGAGAGTCAGGTACACAAGAACCTCACAGGTTCACCAAATTCAGAGGCTGAGAGAGCAAACGTGGCACTCTATGAATAGATTTGCGGATTTGTCTCATATCTTTTTTTCTTTCCGTCTGGCTCCATCAGCGACCTACTGATAAATCTTGAGGCTGCACATCCAAGATCAGCCTCCCAACTTTAGCTTCATTGGCTACAATCCTATGCTCTGAGGGCTGTGCGCGGTCAGCGTCACCCAGAACCTGCAGCGCTCGACACTAGACTCTAGACTCTAGACTTCCAGGAACTTCCAGCAATTACACGCAGCGTTCTTTCTTTGACAGAGAGAGTCTATCAGTGCAAGCCATTGCCACCTGCACATGCTTCTCCATCAGGTTTCGCAAGATCAAAGACACATCTGCGTGAAACGGAAAGTACCTTTGACTGCATGCGTTCGAAACACTGGTCCAAAAATTATGACCTCAAAGTTCTTGAAGAGAATGTTCCATCTGAAGCTCCTGCAACTCAGACCAAACTCTTATAATTTATAATTGTATACAGTGGGGCCTTTCTTTGCTCTTCAAGGCCGGAATGATCACTTTCCTTGCATCCTTGTTGCATGAGGTGATTTTCACATATTTTGAAAGGTCAGGCTTCTTGTGGGACATTGGTGTTGAGACTGTGCCAAAGCACTCAGACTCCAAAACATGAGTTCTGGAAAATGACTCGTCTGACTTGGACGAATGAATCCTAAGCAAGTGCCACACACTGCAAACAAGAGGGAACATGTCATGTCGGAGCTCATCTCCTGATGGCCTCATCCACCAGGTCCATGAACTGCAAGATTTGAGTCCCACGGGATTAGGAGTGGCGGGGAGTAAATCGGAATACAACAGGAAAAGTGTTAGGAGAGTCTTGTGTTGCTTTCGGTTCTTGAAGCTCTTACCTCAACAGCAGTTCTATCTGGAAGTGGAGTATCGGAGTATCCGTTCGCCTCAACTACTTCAAATTGTTCCTGCTGTCCAAACAAGTACTGTAGCATACTGTAGCTATGGTCCTGATGTCCTGTTGCTTTGCCTGGAGCTTTAGCCGAACTTTGCCTCATGGCTCTTCTAGAGCTTCTGGAATTCATAGCTGCTAGGTGTCAAGTTTTCAAGAAACCCATCGAAAATTTGGAGACGACCTACTGCCTCATCATCCAAGCCCACCGAGGCAGCGCTCGGAGCAGGTCCTGTGCAAGTCACAAGCGCCCTGATGCCATGTTGGAGCTGGTCTGCTACGTGTCAGCTTCTGGCTGTTGAGCTAGATAGACCGTTGGAAGCGGAAACATCTGGATGGACCAATTTGTTTGCGCTGACATGAAATGGTTGTCGGTGGCCAAAACCTTGTCTAAGCCTGACATTCCAAGAGTTTCCACCCGCAGGGTTCACCTTTCCCTGTCGGTAGTTCCATGACCAACAATTGATCACATCCAACCAAAGTTACCCATAAACCTGCGCATTGTTTTGTTCCACACTAGATTCACATGGCTCTTGTCACTGCCCCAGCAAGAGTTGCAATTGCTACGAAAAACAAAAGAAGGTTTGGCAGTTGGATCAGACAACTGCCATGTTCATAGCAGTCTTGCGCAGGAGCTGTGTCGGGCACAGCATAGGTCCTCGATACCGCACGCTCTTCAAAGGCACCAAGGGGCAACCACAGACACATTGAGCATTGCTGCCGTTGTGCCTCGGCCGTCTTTGGAAGAACCACCTCCCCACCTCACCCTTCACTTCCGCTGTTGCGAGCCTTGAGTGGTACACCATGGCCAGTTCAGGATGGTATGAAGGTGTAAGGTTGTACAACTAGTTTGAACAGTTTCACGTTGACTCGGCCCTTGCTTTGTGCGCCTTTCAAGATGGTGTCCTGCAAAGCATGTCTGGAGTAATGATTGGGGCTCAGCATGCTAGCCGTGCTCGAAAGTTTGCCTGACCCACAGTTGAAATCGCATCATACCCCTGCTGAAGACAGCATGGTGACTATAGTGGGTCTACTGATCTTACTGGATTCCGCTTGAGAAAGCTGCTCACGTACAGAAAGGAGGAACCATTGAATTTAGTCCAGCATAGGACCCCAACTGGTGTCAACCATAGTAATCTTTAAGCGTCTACTATTGATAATTTTAATGTTGGTGGGAACGTCTGCAATTATTTACCTATGGCCTCCAGCTGTTTGGGAACGGCACGAAAACAGACAATGTTTGAAAACAGCAAATCCTGATGCCTGAGTCATCTGTGAAAAACAAAGGGATATATATATATATATACTGTCGATATTATGTCATGAGGATTATACCAAACTTGAAACACTGCATCACTGGTGCATTCATGGCCACACGAAAACATACTTGGACAAGATGGTGGATAAAAGAAAAAGCGGCGTGGCCAAGCAGCGGACAAGGCCCAGACAAGACTGTGGTAAAAGGGTGGACAACCTGGACAAACAGGACAAACAGACCTGAACAAGGCCCGGCCAAGCAGGACACACAACCCCAGACAAGGCGGCGCGGCCAACAGAACAGAGAAAGCCTGGGCTGGACAGTCACTACGTAAGCTGCTTTGGGAACAAGTCAGGACACAGGGTTTGCCAGCCCGGCCAAAGAACAGACGGAGGACACCAAGAAGTGAGCACAGGGTTGAACAAGAAGAGGGCAACAGGAGAACAACACCCGGACACAAGGTTGAAGGGCGCGGCCGGAGACTGTCAGGGCGGTTCCCACAGCGCTGAATTAGCTAAGCCCATGTAGGAAATGGTTTCTAATGTTTTGCTATTGAGTCAAAGAGAAAATGTAATCTCCACATGTACTTTTTCGAAGTGTGGCCATCCTGCTTTGCCAAGCTCAAGATGTAGGATTGTCAGGATCATTAAATGATGACGTCACCGCGTATGTGCTGCATGGAAAGTATGAAAGCAGTGGAAACAACTAAAATGTGTCTGTGGCCAGTGCTTTTTCGTCAGAGAACCCCAACCGTAAACTGTTTGGGGAGCAACTGCAAGCACCTGGAGGACAAGAGAAGGACACCAAGAAGACAAGAGGAAGAAACCAGGAGCGCACCACAAGGACAAGAGACGGAAACCAGGAGGACAAGAGGAAGACGGAGGACACGAGGAGGACGGAAGACAAGAGGAGGACAAAAGGAGGACACAGGCTTGGCCAGCACGGCCAGGGGACAACAGCAGAACAACTCCCAGGAGGAGAAGAAGAGGGCACCGAGAAGACAAGAGAAAAAAAAACAAGAGGACAAGAGGAGGACACCAGGAGGCGCCCGCCAGCGCGACTGCAAGCGCCAGGAGGACAAGAAGAGGACACAAGGTTGGCCAGCGCGGCCAAAGGACAACAGCAGGACAATCGCAAGCACCAGGAGGACAAGAGTAGGACAAAACCCACATAGGGTTCAGGGGCACGGCCAGAGACTCTGGTTAGTTTTTTCTAAGAGAGAACCTCAATAGTAATTTTTTTGGGGGAATAACAGGATAATAATCAAAGTGCTGAAATATTATGTATTATATACGTGTGTGTGTGTCAACCCCTGTTCCTAAGGGTTTTGGTTTCTTGCATACG